ACTCCCCTGTCCTCAACTACAGAATGCTGTCCCCACTGCCCGAACTCTGTCCCCAGCTACAGAACTGTCCCCACTCCCGTCCCCAACTACAGAATGCTGTCCCCATTCACGTCCCCACTCCCCAAACTCTGTCCCCACTCCCGTCCCCACTCCCCGAATTCTGTCCCCACTTGCACTCTGTCCCCTGCTGCAGAACCCTGTCCTCTGCCCTCCCAGCACCCTGTTCCCTCTCCCCTGCCCCCAGCCACAGTACTCTATTCCCACAAAATGTATAATTATAAATGCTTCATTTTAGATTTAAATAGCATGAATAAAAAACAGGCCATTTATTTCATAACTATAAACACGTGATTTTAATTGTATGTATCGCATAATTTAAAAATAAACTGTTTATCAGAGTGTGTAAGTAAGGGCTGGGGATAGCAAGTGATGGACAGGAGGAGAATAGAGAGGGCGGGGCTTCAAGGAAGGGGCGGGGCGGTAGATCTTCGCCTGTTCTGAGATTTAAAAAGTGATCTTGGGTGTAAAAAGGTTGGAGACCACTGGTCTAGATGGTGTTTGGTCCTGCCCTGAGTGCAGGGGACTGGAGTTGATGACTGCTTAAGACTGCTTCCAGTTCTATGATTTTATGCTTACTGTTGGGGACACTTATGGATATTGATTTCCTGTGTGTCTGATGAGGCTTGAAACTCATTTTTCAGTGTCTGGAGAGGCCGCCATTGTTTATTCCAGCAAATGGAGCTTAAGATAAGCATGCCATGACTTGTATGCATTTGAGGGGAAAAAAGCAGAATACTTTGCGTTGGTCTGGTATGTGTCTTTTACTCAAGCAGAAAGGTACTACTAGACCATCACATGATGGGCAAGGTGAAAAACTCAAAGGTTTGGAGACCACTACGATGCAGGAGCAGATAGCATTTAGCCTCAGTGTATCAGCAGGGAGTCTCGCTCTCTTTTTGTTTGAAGTTCCAAATTTAACTAATGAGGTGGTCTGATACAATTTCCTACTAGAAAAGCAAGATAATTATATAGTAAAGGAGACTAAGTAGAAGAATCAGCCAGTGCTAAAGAGAATCAGACCAGATATTGCTAGAGTCCATCATTCCTCCACAGACAATAAGGGGAAACTGAGGGACGCCTGTGGCCTCTCTGCCCTTACGTCCTGGTACAGGAGCACAAGCAGGCACAAGGTGGAGATGCAATCCTAAAGGACTCTGCTAATGAAAAGACTCCAATCTTGCACACACAGAGTGCATGTGTACCGACAGAGGGATCTACACAGACACAAAAGTTTCCAGGAAAGACTAAGTTACTCACCTTGTGCAGTAATGATGGTTCTTCGAGATGTGTGTCCCTGTGGGTACTCCACTGTAGGCAGCAGCAGATATAGGGCAGGGCGAGTGGGGCGGCTGCCCCAAGCCTCGCACTTCAATAGGCCCCGTGCACGCACTACTACCTATCGGCTGTGGCCATGGCACATGCGCAAAATTATGCTGCCCCAGGCCTCGTGCTTCGATAGGCCCTGCAAAACTCTCATCTGCCCCAATTATAGGTGCTGTGCTCATCCCGGCGCTGCAGACTGGAGTCTTCCATAGCAGTAGTCAGCCCGACCATGCATGTGTGATTAGTGTCTCGCGACCAGTTCCTCTCATCCGCCCGAGTATCTAAAACAAGTCAATTACCGACAGAGAGAGGCTCCGAGGCCAGGAGGAGGGCAGGTAGTGGAGCACCCATGGAAGGGACACATCTCAAAGAACCATCATTACTGCACACGGTGAGTAATTTCTTCTTCGAGTATTGTCCCCGTGGGTGCTTCACTGTAGGTGACTTTGTAGCAGCGGTTGACAGCCCTTGGATGGTGGGTCTTGGAGTCATGATCTAATGGCTGTGGAAAGCACTGCAGAGGCTACCGCTGAATCTGTGATCCAATGGTGTAGTATGGCATAATGCTTCATAAAGGTGGCATTAGAAGACCACGTGGCTGAGCAGCAAATGTCCAAAAGAGGCACTCCCTTCGGGAATGCTATGGATGTGGATATGGCTGTGGTGGAATGGGCCCTACGTGCTGTCGGAAGTGGTTTGTTGCAGATAGCGTAACATCTCTCAATGCAAGCAACTATGAGGTTTGAGATGCACTGAAAGGATAGTGAGTGTTTTCGAGTGATCCGCGAGCGATATCAGAAGGCACTGGGACTTCCTAAATTCCTGAGTCCTCTGCATGTAAAAGGCTAGTGTTCTGTGAACATCTAGGTCAGGGTTTCCCAATGTTTTTGGACCACGGAACCCTTTCAACATATTCAACATATTGAATATAACACCATTCATTTATATTCAACAAAAATCATATTAAATATGTACAAAAAATAAAACTATCAAATAATATTAATTATATTCATAGTTTTCAATGTGAAGAGTGGTTTTTCTTCTTTTCTTGGCAAATTCTTTTTATATTTGGTTTAATACTAGAAAGTTGGATTCGCATATCTGGCGCAGCATTCAGTCGATTTCTGTATTTCGTTTTCATTGCTGCATAGTTCGAGAACCCAGTTTCGCACAAGTATGTACTGGCAAAGGGTAACA